AATTGATGGTTGCAAATCCAAGTTCCTGGAGATGAACAAGTCGCAGCTCACTATTGTATTCCGATATGTAGAGTAAAACCCCATCACATCGTTGTAAAATGTTTCGTATCTGTGAGTATGTACACGTATACTTGTGAATGCATATGCATGCGTGTCCATTTTGTGTATGTACAGGTGCAACGTGCAACTTCGATGCTTACCTTCTTCTTGGACGTGTCTTTGGGCTGGAAGACAAAGTCCTCGGGAAACGAACTGGGCAGAACACACCAAATACCGTCGGTGTCCAATTCCAAAGGAATGCCAATCCTATCCACTATCTGAAGAAGACAAAAGTTAGTGTCAATTGTGAGTGTCACTTGATGTGTATAAATAGGTATGTGTACGTAGGTACGAATTAGTAGGTGTGTTTTAGGTCCAAAAGTATACAAAACGGATTGATATCAAAATTATGTGCAAAGACTCGATTAGTTATATATATGTATATACAGATATATAAATATATATATATATATATATACAGACTACATATCATAGAATGGATCCAGCATGAGTACGATTCCGCCCAATATGCGTGTAAAAAGGGCTCGCCAGAAGCCAGAGTATTCTCCAGCAACAGCGCTTGTACAGATGACTTCATCTGCATACGCTGATACAAATGAAACCGTCCTCTGCAATAATATATATGTAGCTCACGAGTAAGCCTCAGGCACAACCACACTCTGTCCAGAGACATGTGTGTATCACGCTACAGATGCACACATCTCCTGCATAAGCATGAACATACACACACCTCACGAGCGCGTGTGATGATGTTAGAGCCAGTATAGCACACAATGCCGGCCATCTCCATGGAGAACCACCGTGCACCCCTCCGCATGACATAGCCATAGAAGGAGTTGAGAATGCACTTATGGGCCAACTGAAGCGAATCATACAGCACACACTGCGGGGGTACAGGAAGGGGAGCGATGATAGGCAAGAAATAGATAGATGCTCGGGGGATGAGAAATAGCGTAGGTGGCGTAGGAGATATAGGATGAATTAGTATGTTGAGTATGGAGGGTGATGGAGAATGTCACGAGTGACGCATTATGCTACATGGCAGTGAGAGGAGCTATGAATGGGAAAAAGCAATAACTCAGCCACTTGGATTGCATACACCGATGAGAGAAATGGAACCAACGATAAGTGGATGCGCAATGCGTATATATAT